CCCGAAACGTTAACTCTGCTTTATTTTTCTTCACAGATGCTGCGGGACCTGCTGAGCTTTTCCAGCAACTTTGTTTTTTTTCCTGAAAAACTCCAGGTTGCTGAGCCGTTAAGATTTTATTTAACAAGTCATATATTTGGAGTTTACATTTAACAAGTAATATACTTCTGTCTTTAGAGAGAAGAATAATTAATTATGGGGTTATAGGTTACACTGGTAGATGCATACTGAGGTGGTGAGAAAGAGTTATAGAGTCATACAGCATGGAAACAGACCCTTCAGTCCAACTAATCCATGCCAAACATAATCCCAAAATAAACTAGTCCCACCTGCCTCTTCCTGGCCCATATCCCTCCAAACATTTCTTATTCATGTACTTATCCAAATGTCTTTTAATTGTTGTAATTGTACCTGCATCCACCACTTCCTGTGAAAGTTCATTCCACACACAAACCATTCTCTGTGGAAAAAAAAGTTTCCCCTCATGTTTTTAAATCTTTCTCCTCTTACGTTAAAAATATGTCCTCAGTCTTAAAATCCTCACCCTGGTGAAAAGACACCTGCCATTCATCTTATCTATAATCTTCATGATTTTGTAAGCCTTTATAAGGTCACCCCTCAACCTACACTCCTGAAAAAAGTCCCAGCCTCTCCTTATAACTCAAATCCACCATTCGTGGCATCCTGGTAAATCTGTTCTGAACCCTTTCCAGCTTAATAATATCCTTCCTATAACAGGGTGGACCAGATACACAATGGGAACAGTGATTGCTGTGCTTGAGGGAGAGGATGAATGTTATTTGAAGTGCAGCAGGTGATGGGTAAATTGTGAACATGGGATGAATAAATATCCTTGAGTTTCTGCTCATTAGCTTTGGGATTAAGATGCACTTCCCAATAAGCGGTCCATGAGAGTTTGGATTTGAGGAAAGAATGTACTCTATTAGATAATTGCCTTTCTACTTCATGTTAATGTTCTAAAATGTGTGTAAGGTGTAATTAATTTTAAACATCAAGATCAATAATGTAAAAATGCCATGAAATGCAAATAATCTTCTATCTAGAGAAGTCCCTCCACAGACAATGTATTAAATCTAGGCATTGGTGTAATCTCGTGAAATATCATGGACAGAAGGCTCATTGACAGGATGTCTTTTTGGGGACAGCAGGTGGCTGTTGGTGTTGATGGTGTCATTTACTTCATTTGGAAATAACCATGGTAACGGTGAGGTGTACTTGCCAGTCTGTGGGAGGCAAATGACGCTGCTGTTTTCTCATCGCTAACTATCTTGTTTCTGTCCTGTGCAGTCTATTTACGCATCATTTATTTTGCAGATCCTACTTAACATTCATGATAATGAAGTAGTGGTTGCTATAGCCCTGACAGAGGAAAGTCTACACAAACGAAACATAACACACTTTGGGCCTACAACTCTTCGATCTACTTTAGCCTATGGGATGTTAAGGTATGATTCATGTTAGCTATACAGCAATGGCAATGCCTGTAGAAGAAATAGCCACTTACATGAGGTACTAAAGGCTTCCCATTCCCCTTTAATCTGTGCCTCAACACGTCGATGTTTAACTGTGAGGAGGAGGGAAAATTAGGGTGTGACAATATTTTAAACAAAATGTGTTTACACAGTCTGTCATACGCTGCTGTCTCAATTATCCCAGTTAGTATAACTCTTATATTTTCTTCATAACTATGTGAATTTTTCTTCTGTAAAATATATTTTATATTCATTCCATTTGGTTAGAAATCACCATTGGAGGCCCTCAATCTGTATTTTGGTAACCTCTTCTGACTGTGACAGTTGCAGGAGACATATACATGTTTTTACTAAACATGGCCTCGATCTGATTGACCCCTCCATCCTCACTTCCAACAATAAATGAGGAGCTAGTGGGTTTCTTTATCACTACAATCAGCTACCTCTGCTGTTCCGCTAGGCCAAAGGATGAAACGTTATCTAAAGTTCCCCAGTGTTAAAACTGAACATGCATGTTTCTTCTCTGCCAACCCCTTTCATGCTTCTCTCTTCATTTGTCCATTAGACTCATCTCCTGCTTCCTCTGTCCTCTTCCCACTGAACTGCTGACCACCTCCTGACCTCCATTTAGCTGATATTGTTAACTGTTCACTCTCTCTTCATGTGTTCTCTTCCTCTCCTTTAAATTTGCTGACATTACCTCCTGCTCAAATACAAAACAACCGTTGAGCATCCCCAATTTTAATTGCTTCATCAGAAGTGACTATGCTTTCATTTTCCTGGGCCCTAAATCCTGGATTTACCATCCATCCGCTTCTCTGCTTGTCTATTCTGCTTTTGCCTTGTAGACACTCCTTAAAACTTACCTAGCTTTTGGTCATCTGACCTGATGACTACTTATGTGGCTAATTTGTTTAGTAATGCACCTCTGAAGCTTCTTGGGACAGTTGATTACATTAAAGGTACTATATAAATATAAGCACTGTTCATCTGGGCATTCTGTACCACTGTTATTCATTTCTTTCAAATTTTGGTTCATCAGTCTGCAGCAATCACTAATACAGTGACCAATATAGGGGGAGGTGATGGCCTAGTGGTATTATCATTGGACGGTTAATTCAGACTCCCAGATAACATTCTGGGGACCCAGGTTCGAATCCCGCCACGGCAGATAGTGCAATTTGAATTCAGTGAATATTTGGAATTAAGAATTTAACAATGACCGTGAATCCATTGTCGATTGTCAGAAAAACCCATCTGGTTCACTAATGTCCTTTGGGGAAGGAAACTGCCATCCTTACCTGGTCTGACCCACAGCAATATGGTTGACTCTTAACTGCCCCGGGCAATTAGGGATGGGCAATAAATGTGATGCCCTCATCTCATGAATGAATAAAAGAAAGATAAATTAAAGTGAAGTTTAAATTCTGAATGATAACACAACAAGATTTCAAGGTTTAAGACCTTTAACATAGCAAGTGAACTTAATATTGACTAACTTTTTTTTAATGGATAGATTATCTAATCTGAAGAACAGAAACCTCTGACAATGAACCTACAGCACCAAGCACTGACATGACATGACATTACTTCATCCCTGTTGATCTTCTCATACCCCATTTACAGCTCTGCTCAGATATCTAAGAAGCTCTGTATATAATCATAGATCCTTATGTTTGTGTTTGTATTTGAACTTGAGCTCACTGCTCTAGCCCCATGCTGATTTTTTAATGTAAGAATTAGTAAATTTCTAATCTTCATAATTCTTAATTTTCATTTAATTCTGTACTGTAGGCTTTGTAATCCTCAGCTAACTGACATCATTGTTGATCCAATGTGTGGAACTGGAGCTATACCAATTGAGGTAAGGTATTGAGGAGAACAGATCTCCTGAAAAGCAATGTGGTCCCACCAATCCATGCATTGTATACCCTGCACTGAATCACACTTGTACATTACAAGTTTCAAGTCTGTCACAGGAATTTTCACTGGTTCAATTGGATCAGTTATTCTTGGAAGTTGGAGGAAGTTGATCCTATAACCCTTACATTTGAGATTTGATAAGGTGAATGGCAGGTGTCTTTTCCCTAGGATGAGGGATTTCAAGACTAGGGAACATATTTTTAATGTGAGAGGAGAAAGATTTTAAAAAGGCATGAGAGGCACTTTTTTAACACAGTGTGGTTCGTGTGTGGAATGAACTTTGAGAGGAAGTGATGGATGTGGCTTATAGGAACAACATTTAAAAGACATTTAGATAAGTTTATGAGTAAGAAATTGTGATGGGATGTGGGCCAAGCGCAGGTAGGTGGGATTAGTTTAGTTTGGGATTATGGTCAGTTTGGACTGGTTGGACCACACTTGGACTGTGCTGTGTGACTATGACCCTATGACATGCACTGCCTAACACTTAAGCAATCTTCTACTGATGTCTCCTTGCAGGAATTTTTCCCTTGTCTTGATATCTATGTCATTCAGTTTGTTTCTTTATTCCCATTTGAGTCATTTTTCTTCCCTTCATCTTGCATTCTCTCCCTTTGTAACTGTAGTTCAATTAATAGCACTTTCATTCCTGAATCAACTGGAATGGGAAGACAGTGCTATGATTAGCATGTTGACACCGATCACCATGTGCACAATATTGGACTGTGCGCACACCTGAGTGAGAACATTGCTTGTTAGGGAGAGCATAACTAAGGGATACACCTTAAGAATAAGGGATCTCCTTTTTAAGATTGGGATGAAAGTTTTTTGCCTCTGGGGACTGTTAGTATGTGGTATTCTCTTCCCCAGAAAACTGGAGGCTGAATCATTGAGTAGATTGAAGGAAGATTTAGATACATTTTTGTTGATAAGGCAGGCTGACAGGGGATTGGGGTTTAGACCACAGCCAGATCAACCTTCATCTTATTGATTGGCGCAGCAGACTTGAAGGGTCGAATGGACTAATATTCCTGACATTCTCCTATTATGATTTTGTTGCTTCCAACTGTATCCTCTTGTCATGCCGCCTGCATTATTTATCACTACATATTTTGCACTTCGAATGAAGCCCATCTAGACAGTCCTAGCATTCAGCTGTAACCCGCACATAGTGCACTGCATAGTACAGACTGAGAGGTTGCCAAGTATCATGGATAACGTGTGTGAAGTTATCTCATCTCGGGTCTGATGATAGTAGGTGCATTAATGTCAGGATAATTAGCCAGGACATTCTCTCTCTCTCTCTCTCTCTCTCTGCCCCCCACCCTACCTCTCTCTCCTTCACGTTTGTGATCTGACATTATTGGTGATCCTTTAGATTCTTTCATCCATAATATTGACTACTCGTCTGAAACCATTAAGACTGCTGCTTGCCGCCTTATCAGAAGTAGCTTCCCTGTTCCTTGTTACATTTAGCATTGACTGTCTGTTTGAAGATACATCTTTCCTGAGATTAACTCCTTCAATTCTTCTGCAGGGCAGTCATTTGTCCTTGTGGTATAAGACAGCCAGTTATCAAGCAGATGTCAAAACAGTTTTGTTTGCGTAGCTTTAACTCCTCCTCCTCCCATATACAGCCCATTACTTTCAATTCCTGTATAAGTTTGTACTTGTCTCTTAAGGTTTATTCCAAGGCAAAGTTATTGCTGCTTCTTTCCCTCTATGAACAGTCATTAAAGTCATGAAGTTTACACTGTCACAGTCTGTAGGGGAATCAGTGGGTGAGTTAGAGGACAGGACCCTGGTCTAGTGGAATTGTGGCCTGGCGTGAATTGGCACCTTCACTGGGCAGAGATGGCACAGAAATAAATAACACTCAAAATTCATGGCCTAGCACAGATACAGATCTGGCTACACTGTGGTCAGAAGGTTTTCCAAACAATCATGGGTTCTCTTAATTGCTTTCTCCTGTATGAAACACAATAGCACTTTGCAGAAGGAGTATATTTTGTTCATGACGCCTTAATTTGTAGACTTTATAATCTAATTTAAATACCCCTCCAGGGAGCTTTAGAATTCTCACAGTGTTACTTCCTTGGTGGAGACAACAACGTACTTGCCGTGAACAGATCTGTAAATAACATCAACTCTCTACAGAAGAAGAGACTGGAGAAGGGAAGGTAAGGATTCATCCTGCTGCACACAGTAATGACAGAATTCTGCCTTTCTCTGAGTAAATGGGGGATTTGTTATGAGTACAACTGGGATGATAATCTTGACTCAAAACTCTCTTCTTGCAGAATGAAGTTTTTCCAACTCTTAATTTTTCAGTAAGCCCCCACTCACCTGAAGATATTGCCAGACATGCACATTTTGTGATCATTAATGATCATTATCTAGGAGTTGGAAACCTCAGGTAAAGAGAGGCACATGCTCAGTTGGGATGACCTGCCGAATGGCCAAGTAACCTGCTGAAACTTGCTTTCCAAACTCTTATCATGGTGACTATCTCTTTGGATGAAGAGTGTGGGGTGCGCACATAATTGTACCTGCCCCATGTTAGGGTCTTCAGGAGAACAGGGGTGTTTGGGTTAATGCTTACCCTGATTGCAAGTTGAATTTTTGTATCTGAAAAGCAGAAAGTTATGGAAAATTAACAGCGATCAAACATCAGAAGTCAAAAATTATAATTATTTTTCATTTTAAAAAGGAAATGACACTTAAAAACCCAAAACCCAGAACATCACCGAGGCTAATTTCCAAAGAGAAAATTAACTCCCTTCCTAACGGTACTGTGGGTATTCTTTCATCCCAAGAATCATAGAATCCCTACCTTGTGGAAACAGGCCATTCAGCCCAACAAGTCAGCACCGCCCCTCCAAAGAGCAAACCCACCTAACCTAAACATTCCTGGACACTACGGGCAATTTAGCATGGCCAATCCACCTACCTTGCACATCTTTGGGCTGGGAGGAAACTGGAGCAGCTGGAGGAAACCCACGCAGACACGGGGAGAATGTGCGAAACAGACAGTCGCCCGAGGGTGGAATTGAACCCGGGGTTCATTTCCACGGCAATTAGGGATGACCGATAAATGTTGGCCTAGCCAACAACACCCACATTCCATGAACACATTAAAAATGATAAATTGTAGCAGAATTAATTGGGTGGGGACAAGATTGATTGATAAATGCTTGCTGCCATCCAGTATTGTGTTGTCTGAATGTTTTGACATTGTGCAGTTTCCTAGTATTGTTTCTCAGCTTCCCCTACAAAGGTTCACTTGGTAAAACTGATTGATAATTAGGCCACGCAGACCACTGATTCCCAGGTTTATTTCCAGATCTTTATCGAGTTAGCCAGTCTCAGCCGGGACGATGGCTGAGGTCTAAGGCATTAGGCCTAAACAGGAGAGGAAGGTCAATCCACGTTCCCATTCCTGATGCCTGGCCAACGATTTCCTTAACTAAGTATCCTGCAATTGTTTACTGTCCGGACTCCCACTGAAAGGTGCACCCATGGTGTGGTATTCTAGGGCCCTGTGGGAATATGAGCAGCATGTTTAGTGTGAGAGTAGGGGCTGGTATAAGATAAACACCTGATTGTGATGGAGGCTAACCCAGGGCTTCAGTTAACACCCATTCCTTTACTGAATTGTGTTTTAATACACATTGCAGGATTACCTGGGGCATGCCATTGGATGTTGTCCAGTGGGACATCTGTAATCTGCCACTGATGACCAGTTCTGTGGATGTAATTATATCGGATATGCCTTTTGGAAAGAGGTAAGTCCTTGTGATTGTGAAATTAATTTATTTATTAGAAACAGAACAACTAATCTGCTGTCTGTTTAAGAGATCTTCTGGTATGCAGATGTGGTTGTCTCATGCGTTCCTAACAATGATCATTGCAATTCAAAGGAATTTATTTTGACCATTTTCAGACATGTGATACGCTGGTATATTCTGGAGTTGTCCTTCTCTGGTATTCTGCATGTTGTTTTTATTTGTAAAAGTATGTTACAAAATTACTTCAACATGACAATTCCAGCAGGTGCAACAAAATTCAACTAATGTAGTGCCTTTCATGACCACCAGCAATTTACAGGCAATGCAGTACTTTAAGTGTAGTTACTGGCGTAAAGTAGAAAACCCTGCAGCCAGTTTGTGCACAGCAAGCTCCCACAAAGAGCATGTGATAATGATTGGATATTCTAGGGTTATTTTTGTGATGTTGATTGAGGGATAAATATTGGCCAGGAAATCAGGAGGAGTTCCCGATGGTCATGGGAATTTTCATAACCACCTTGGGGAACAAACAGAGGCCGACGTGAAAGAGGGTGCCTTCGACAGTACAGCACTCCCTCAGTACGGCACTGAAGTATCAGTCTTGGTGTTGTGCTCAAGTCTTGGAGCAGGAAACAAGTCCACAACCATCCGACTCGGAGACAAGAGTGCTACCAATTGAGCAATGCTGACTTATAGGGAAATACTCACTGCTGCTGGCACTGAACTCATTACATTGCAAAGTAGGCATTTTGAGCATTGCCGTTCCTTAGTGATCCAGAGCTGGACTCGAATTTTCATTTTCACTGAGAAAGGTTGGTATTGCTTTGTTAACTTTTCTTTTTATTAATTTAGGGCTTGACTGGCTGATCATGTGCTGATCAGCCCATCCCTGATCGTGTTTTACATGGCTGGTGTCATTTAATTATAGCCTCTAGCTTCTACCCAAGCTGTTGATTGGAAGGTGGAGGATTTTATAACTGATTAACTGGTTACAGATCACTGAATAGGCTTTGGTCTTTGCTAGTTGTTTGTGAGGTTGTACAGTGGTAATGCAAGGTCAAAGAAAAGGACAAGTAGCCAGAGAGACCTGTTTGTGACTTCTGTTGTTTTTGGTGTAGGTTAGAATGTAATCCATAAATTCAAAAAAATGTTGATTTTTTTTTAATATATGTTGAAAAACTAGGATAGGCTCGAGAAGGAAAAACTGGGACCTGTATCCAGCCTGTCTACAGGAAATGGGGCGTGTGTGCAGGCCAGAGACTGGCAGAGCAGCCCTCCTAACACAGGACAAGAAATGCTTTATAAAGGTAACATGGTGCCTGTATTCCTGGGATTATCCTGCTGGACTAGGACATGGAGCTGCAGATGAAATCATATCAAATGTTTTTGTTCATGTTGCACAGTGCCCTTGGTTCTGTAGTCTGTTAAGATGGTTGAATCAACATATGACTACACAGTACAGAGATATCCCATCAGCTGTTTGTGAACAGGGAGGTCAGACTGTCGTTACCAACGGTGTTTATATGGAGGCAGTTTTGTGCTTCAATCCTAACACACTGGGAGCTTGACTGAGTTGACTCCAATATCTCATATTAAGTTTACAGAGCAGTTTATTTTCCTCACAAACACCCCATTTCCCAGATTGGTGATACGAGGTGTGGATATTGACAAATACATCTCAGGATTTTCCAAGTGGACAAACCTATTTTCCATTTCCTCAACATTCCCTATGTCACAACGTAGCTATCAGAAGGTGGCATCCTCTGATTATGTACAGTGTAGTCTAATAACAAACACACTACCAGCTTTTGCTACCCCTTCCACTACAATGGGGGTTCCCTCTTGCTTAAGATCAAGAATGTTGGGAAAAAGCTAGGGGGACACGAATTCATTGATCTGGCCTAATCCATCCATGGGCACCACTGTAGCATCACTCTGCCTGTCCATGCCAGTGGGAACCATTACAATCCATTAAGTTAGATGAATTGATTAATAAATAGCCCCTCCAGAGATTGCTAAATATGCCACCTATCTATTTAATTAGTTGAACTTGACAGAGCACAGATGCCCAATCTCAGGTAGTGGTCGGGGCACAGTTATGGCATCAGTCTTCTGTTCGGTTTTTGATCAGTACGATCAACCCGTGACCATTTTGCCTGTGTGTGTGGGGTTGGTGGGGGTATGTTGTCAGTGATAATAAAGGTGTGTTTGGCTATTATTAGACTGCCAGGACCTGTTATCTAGAATTTTGGTATGGTATCAGAAGGTACCTGGAAACCAAAGAATCATATTCTAGTTTGCAATAGTATCTCTCCAAGCTGAGGCAGGATTAGAAGCTGTTCTGGTCTTAATCACAGATTCTGAAATTGTAATTTGCTGAGATCCTCTGACATTCAGCAGCTGCCTGCAGAACTTAAAGCTTGTGTTCATTTTCCTGCTGTAGGCCATGTCAAGAATGGGGCATCTCTGGAGGAAGTCACACACTGTCTGGGTGAATGTTGGAGGGCTCCATGCTGCTGTATACCTGCTGAAACGCACCAGTCTTTCCTTTGACAGGTTATTTCAGAGACCCCAAGATTCTGCTACTAGTGAGGAAATTCCCTGTAAAACAGGGGCAAAAGAATAAGTGGAGCTTGGAGTCTGCACTCACAAGGGAAAACATTTTGTTTGGGATAAATATGAGCCTTGCTGGAAAGGAGGGGACATCCTTGAATTGTTACTGTCATTTTACACCCAGAAGACCATAATGAGGAGGAAATGTGCACCCTCATGCCTGTTAATATCGGGTGGAATTTTTCAGACTTCTGAAGCCTCACCTTCTTGACAGGAGGATGCAGGGTAATTGTGAGCAGCCTTAAAAGAGCAAATATCTGTGAGAATTAACATGGGGAAAGAGAGAGAGCAATTTGGAGAACTGATAACCTCTGTAACACTGGATATCAACCTTTACCTCCAGGAACCAAATGAGAACATCCCCGAGTTCAGTTGCATCGTGTTTTGAAGTAGATCTATTGCTGGACTTCAGTCAGCCTTCCACACATCGGTTATGAATATTGGTCAGATGAGCAAAGCCAAAAAAAATGGAACACTAACAATGGGGAGAATCTTTCCTTCAAATGAACCAGAACCAGCAGTCTGCAAACATTCTAAACTTCAGGTCAAGAGTTTCCTGTTCTGTCTGTGCATAGAAATACAGAACTCTTGTTGAAAGTTCAAAGCCAGTGTCAAATATTTAATTTTTTTGGGGTGGCTTTGTGGTATTATAATAAGAGGCTGAAAGGTAAATGTTTATTCTCCTCCTTTTCTATATGTTTAGTCTCCTTGCTGCTAAATGATTGATGCTCTCCCTTTGAAATGGTTGAAATTTTCAACAAGATTTCTTTTTCCATGTCCAACCACTGTCATAACCTTTTTAAAGTCATGGGCTTTAATATCTTGCTTTATGAATGCATTGCCTTGTACGAAAATGGTGTGTGCAAGGCAGTAATGTTCCCAGTTCAGTGCCTGGGTGCTGGTCTTAATAGTTGCCTTCATTGCCTCTAGATTATAGAGGTAATGAGAGATTAGTCACGATTTCCAAGTGTAGGACTGTTGGTTAATGATTAAATTATCATTTGCTGGTTAGCTTTTCAGGAGAATGGGACTAGAAACAAATGGCTGTATGGACTATATTTGATTTATGCTTCACTATTTTCTCATGTAGACTGAAACTCCAACTAGTCTTTGAGTTAAACTCACATTCTAGCACTTATTTGGTGCCTTAACACATGAAAATGAAAACCATCTGAGTACTTCACACTGTCTATAGTGCAGTGACTGCTAATGTAGACATGTCTTCAATTTAGGATATCCTCTGCAGTCTGCTGTGTAATGGGAGGCATATCTTCAGCCTCAAGATTGAAGACTGACCTAATTGCCCTTATCGCATCTGCATCAGGATTAAAACTCATTTAACAGAAATACACGGGCTTAGCAGCACCTATTGAGAGGGAAGCTGTGAATATTTCAGGTCAAACCTTTTCAGCCATTGTTTTTCTTTCCACAGATGCTGCCTGACATGAGATAAATTCCAGCATTTTCAGTTTTTATTTCAGATTTCTAGTATCTGCAGCTTTTTGGTTTTGTACCATTAAATGTAACATTGGTTACATTAAACTGAAGAGTTTGCCCAGTGCTTTGATGTACTGAGGGGTGTTTGTGAGACTGCAGCTGAACTCAAATGATACATTTGTCATGTTAGAAAATTATTTAAATTTTACAATAAAGTTTTGATCTGATTCCTTGCTGTTTGACCATTTAATTCAGAGATACTGATTTAGAGGGAGGTGAATGTTTTGCCTGGGCTGCTGATTGGAGACGGATCTGGATAGGTATCCAGAGGCAAGCCTGAAAGAGAAAGATAAAGTGGTATTGGTAGTTTTTGATATTTCCAACGCACACTGAAGTTAGAATAATCAAAATGAACTTTCCAGCCCTGCAGGTACCTGGCTTCCTGGCTTAAATGTATTTGCTCCAGTTGTCTCATCTACTGAAAGTGCAACCTTTTTCTGAACCAATGTTTTGTGGGTACCAGAGTGTCAAATATTAAGTGTTATTGGGGTTCAGTCAGTAGCTTTTAATCAGACATTCATGGGTTTAAGTCTGACTGCAGGGATTCAGCATTAATCTGTGCATTACCAAAGGAGTGCTGTATTATCATAGAATTTTGGATGAGACATTTAGCTGAGGTTCAGTCCGGTCTCTAATGAGTGTAAAAGATCCCATTGCACAATTTGAGAAGGCAATGTGAAGGGAAATCCTAAAGTCATCTATTGGCATATATATAGTAAAAGGTGGAGTTAAGGCAATTAGGGACCAATAAGGCGTTGTATACATGGAGTATGGCTGGGGTATTATGTGAATACTCTGCATCCGTCTTTACTGAGAAGGAGCTGCTGTCTTGACAATGGTAACAGATGGAAACTCTTTCACGAGAAGGATTCGAAATTGATTAGGAAGCAGTTTTGATTAGACTGTTGGTATTTGAAGTTGATAAGGCACCAGATCCGGATTTGAAGTATCCAAGGATTTTGAAGGAAGTGAGAGTGGAAATTGCAGAAGCCCAGCAATCCTTCAGTCTTCCCTAGACTGGGACTTGAGAATTGCAAACATCAGACCCCTGTTCAAAAATGATTATGAGAATAAACCCACCATTTACAGACTTAAACTAAAGTTTAACCTTAGTGGTGCCAAAACTTCTAGAAACAATTATTTAGGTTAGAGTTAATGGTCACATAGGGAAAAAAAAAGGTGGGTTGATAAGGACAGAAACAAGGGAATGGGGAATAGGCAGGAGAATGGCAATAACAGGTGGGTAGCAGAAACACTTCATTAAACGTCATCCGAAAGGCAGCAACTCAACAGCACAGCCCTCCCATTGGATTAGACTCCTGGACTAAGTCTTGAACTCAAGGGACAGCATGGTATCAACTCAAGTGAAAGCTTGCATCCATTAATCATATTGTGTCTCATTGCACCTAACTCCATATCCAAGTCAACAGGTTACTAATTCCATCAGTTCAAATAATTATTGCCAATCTTTTAGGTACAATATTATTGAATACCTTCTCGATGTTCATATAAACAAAATCTATGGACCCCACAAGCTACAACAATAATAACTTATTTTATTGTACCTTTTTAACATAACAAAATTGAGGTGTGGCTTAACTGAGAGCCAATCTAGGTTAGTGATGAGTAAATAAGACAGAATTGACACAGGGACAGCAGAGATCTGATGGTAAAGGATAGAACATGAGAGACTTTTAGGAGTGCAGGGGCAAAGTCAGGTGATGATTCAGAGGTAGAGCTTTGCAGTATTAATGATGAGGCAGTTATATGGAAGGTCATTTCAGGGTGAAATATGACACTAAAACTATGAACCCACTGGTTTTCTCAGACTGTTGCCAGGGAGAAGCATGATGACAATAATAGGGGAACAGAATTAGGAGCAGGGACCAAAGACAAAAGCTTTGGTCTTTTCAATATTTAATTGAATGAATTTTCCACTCATCAGTACTAGATGTTGGATATGCAGCCGGACAATTAAGGAATCAGGACGGGTAATGACGAGAAAAGGCTGGATGTCACCAATGTATAGGCGAAAACTGATGCCGTTCCTTTGAATGATGTTGCTTAAGGGGCAGCATGTAGATGAGAACCATGAGTGGCCCAAGGATAGATCCTTGCAAGACAGCAGAGGTAGTGATGCTGGAACTGGAAAATCAGTCTTTGGAAGTGATTTTCTGACCACAACGATCGGATAAGATTGGAACCAGGTGAGAGCAGTTCTACCCAGCTGGATAACAGTAGAGAGGTACTGGAGGAGGTCACTCTGGATAACCTTGAGAAATGCTTTGGACGGGTCAAAAAGGATGAGGACGGAAAGTCGCAGGAATATAGGTTGTCATTTGTGACCTTCATAATGTATTTACATAATAAATTTATATGTAAATGAGAGATCTCAGGACAGGAACAGTGGACAATGCTCAACAAACACATGAGCTGGCCTTAGGTTGCGTTTCAATTTCCTCATTTGTGTCACGTAACATATAACAACATTGGTGATAAGGATTAATGTTTCTGAAGCTGGTGTGTCCAAAATTATCCCTGGAAAGCTTGACTGGGAGCAGGTGAGTTTTTCACAGCTTGATGTGTTCGGACCATTAAAACAGAGATAAAGCCAACAGCGCTGTGCTGTAGCTGAGGTTAAGGTGTTTGTCCCTGCCATTTGAAGATTGCAGTAGCATCCCGGTCTGGCTTAGACCAACGTCCCAAAACTCCAAAAAGACCTTTCTGGGAATGAGCTAAACAGAGAGAGGGCCAATAAAAAGCTCTTGCAGATGATAACTGTAGGGGTGACCTGTACCTGACCACGCTAAGTGGCCTATGCCTGCTTACAAGATGGTAGATGAAAGCTAAGCAAAATTAAGCAGCCTGCTCACACAGTGACATACAATGAATAGAACTGCTAGAAGGTCAGTAAAAGAACACTGGGTGTTCCCATCCAAGACAGTTTTGATAAGAGGATGCCTTAGGACAGATAAATGACCAATTCCAACTTTATTAATGAAAGGATGATAGTCCCAGTAAATGAATAATATCAGGTGCTAGATTAGGTCCTTAAGCAGCTGCAAGGATAACAGCTAAAGTTATTTTGTAGTAAATAGTTGTCTCTTTGAAGCTACCAGCAATATTAAATAGTTTCTAGCTATAAATGCTCTAATCGTAGAAGTTGGTTTCAATACACAACCAGAATATAATACAAGCCTTAAAAAACATTTAAGCTTAGATGTGAAGATTAACTAGCCTTAGGAGGTGCCTCCTGTTATGCTGTGAACAAGATAGATTGATCACAACCCATAAATTACAGAATACTGACAGTGGAAGTAGTTGCATATAGTTACACTTACAATTAACTTTATAACAGAAGTTAACCTTATAGAAATTTGTTAAAACTAACTAACATTTTATTTTTACATTATGTGATTGGCATAGTTAGAAAATAAAAGGAGTAACTTAATGTGATAAAAGACACCATCAAAATACAATGGGTAATAGAATTCGAGCTGTCCTTACAAATAAACAAGTCTGAGAAAGACCCGAAGGAGTATAGCCATTAAACTTTTGGAATGTGAATGAAAAAGAATGCATGGGAAGATCCCAAGGCCTAGAGATTATAATGTCTAGCTAATACCATAAGATCATGGGAACTTGGGGCTGTCCATGATAGGCACTATCACTGATTAGGATTGGGTGTTTGGATTGGGGAAGGGACAGTGAATACGTTGCTTTTGATTATTGTAACACAAAATGTATAAAAATGCTATATTTCTTTGTAAAAGCAGAGACTGTGTCACCGATCTATCTTCCGAAGCCAGATCCTTTGGCCCTCTCCCTATATAAACTGGTTTCTGCTTGAATAAACATCTTCCACTTGCCTGAATCCTGCTTGCCCCCTAAGTCTTTGTCCTGGGTCAGGAAAAATGCCCCTACAATAACTTGTCAAGAATATGGAGTTGAACTGCTGTAAAATCTAGGCTAATAGCAATGGAAATTCAAGGATCAGGATCAGGATCTGGCATCACATTTGCCTACTGTGTAGGCCTTTCACCAACTGATTTTTGGGTATCATCATCCCTTTCTCTGACACCTTCAGACTGAATATCTGTCAACCAGCAGAGCGATGTGCAGCTTCTGATGCTCGTTCGAGTGCACAGCAGTGTTTTAAACATGATACAGGCCTCAAGGATGCTAGTTTTTTGATGGATATCCTCTGAGCGGTAAATTGTTCTACAAAGAGCACATTAGATGGGAATGGAATATAGGGGGTGGTATAGATAGTTAATGAGACAAGTTTGGTAAGATACAACAAGAAATCTTGCTAGGCCTCGTGGCAAAAAAAATTGCAAAAAATTCTACACACTCAACTAGAAAATGGAAGATTCAACCCACAGTTTATCATTTACCATTCTGAAGAGTCATAACGGTCTGAAACATCAACTGTTTCTTTCTCCGCAGATACTGCCATATCTGCTTAATTTCTCCAACCCTTTATGTTTTCAATTCACAATGAACAATACAAGTAACATCTCAGAAATAGCTGTAAATCAGAAAATGAAATGGGGGAGGGACTCAAGAAAATTGTAACCACTGGACAAATCAAACAGGGTAAATTATTAGAGTTGCTAACTGACACATCCCCAGGTCCCCGTCCTGATGGACTTCACCCTTAAAAGATGGGAGATAATTGATGCTTTGGCTTTAATTGTTGAAAATTTAGCAATCCTAGGAGTCACATTTCATAGTAAGCCCAGCTATCATCCAGCAAAATCTCCAGCAATTTCTGTTTTTAATTCTAAGCTAGTCAGTGCTACAGCCATGTAGCATGGACTAGTTACTATCTCTTGGTAGATGATAATTTCTCTTCCAGATATTAATGTAGTTAGCTGGTTGGTACAACCTGTTATCTTACTTTAAGGAATGAACTACTTAATTACACTGGCTCAGACTTATTGGTGGTTAATCCTTCAATACTTAGTGAGCAGTGCTACAAGAAGCATTTGGGCAAATCTACTCAAAGAAGATCTTAACACAACCAGGTTTGGACATCTCTTAGAACATTTATAAGTTAATATTCATTCTGCGTAGGACTTTATAGAAGCACCTCCCAATGCCATTAAGGTCTGGAGTGGGACACAAACCCACTCCAGACTCTGTCTTGGGATTTGTGATGCGCTGGACATACTGAGGGAGTGGGACCTCTTCAACCCCAACCAATTAGACCACGCCGGTATGATTGGCGTGGTCAGGGACCAATCATCGTTTAGAATCAGCACTAAGGCGACTGAAACGTAGGGACCTCTAATTGTCAGTGCCTTCACCCAATCAGATAGATGTAGGGTGGGGTGGGCGGGGCTGGAAACCAAACTTGGATAGAATAATGTTGAGCCTCAGACCAATCAGAGAGCGGCAGGACGGGCCCGGTACCAATCAGGGAGCAGGCAACGTAACACGGGGAACCACAACTGGTGGGCGTGGCCGGACCGGGATCCAATCAGAATGCAGAGGGATGTGCCGGGGACAAATCAGTGTGAGGGAGGTTGAGCCTGGGACCAATCAGGGAGCGGGAGGCCGAGCCAGGGACCAATCCGAAAGCGGGCGGTTGGACCGGGAACCAATCAGAGAGCGTGAGGTCGGGCCGTAGACCAATCAGAGAGTGGGAGGTCGAGCCGCGGAGCAATCAG